CAATGTTGACAAACATGTATGTTTTATATAAAGCATAACTTTTATCTGGTCAAAGTTGTGGAATGTCCAGCGCTCAAAATAAAATGATCAATGTACATTGTATGTAGCAATAAATTTCACAAACATACATACAGTACAGACATGTAGTATTGTTTATATAGACACCACAGTCACCTCACCGCTTTGTAGGAGCAGATGCTCAGTTATCTGTGTTTGTATAAACCCTCTAAACTTTGATGATCTGTATAATTTTGGTTGTTATATCTGGTTTTAATTTTATAAATACATATACCAAACTGGGTAATATCAAATCCTGGAATTACCCCTGCATTTAACTCTTACATTCAAAGTTTTCCCATGCAAAAAGTACCAAATGAGTGTAAATATTGTTGACGCGAAAACTGAACATATCCTGAACTGTAGAATTTTGCACTGTCACCCCCACTTCCTGACGACATCACAGAAACAGGTTTCATCAAAGCACATGATGTTTTTTCACCAATTCATCAAAATTGTTTTTGTCAACAGCAAACAGTCTGAGCATGTCTATTTCCAGTGGATGCATGTGACCAGCAATGACCAATGAATGGAGAGGAGCACCTAAGTCAGTATTGACCATCTGTTTCAGAGTGCCTGCCATAATGTTCTGGTCATCAGCACCTACCCTGGCCACACCCACACACATGGTATCTTCTATTAAACCTGCAGAAATCAACATATTTAATTTGTTATTGAAACATTTAATCTATGTTATGGTTGTGTAAGTGAATCATCAACAAGCAACTCATGTTTATAAATATTTAAAAACCCAATTTACATAAAAGACTCTTGAGCTGTGGCACTGTGAGTTTGTCGACATCATCCATCATATAAATGTAAAAAGAATGATAAAACAAATGGATCGCAAACGTGGAAATTGCTAGGACGCCATTTTGAACTAAAGCTTAATCAGTGTCATGTGGCTGACAACTGTTGTCAGTGAGCGGAATACCCACTATTTATATTTACTCTCATTCAAATCCAAATGAGATGATTGGCTAGTCAGGCGTCATCAGACAGCCTACAACAACTTGCAATTGGTTGACATTTTTCAACCTCTCCATGATCTACTGTGGTAACACATCACCAGCTAAAAGCCTCCACAAACAGTCGTTTCAGTTTACAATTAAAGCGGGAGGGTCGTCATCTGCGTACACGCAGGAATTGAGTCCCAAGCGATGATAACAACACACACTAAAAACACAAAGGCTCATGGGTAGACGCTTGTTTGTAAACAATGACATGCTATGGCCATTTGACACATGTGCAGGTGATGACTCCCCCACTTTAATTAATATAACATACATCGCTTTATTTATGTATGAAGATGCTTATGACAAGAATACTATGATCTGTTGTGTGCACAAAAGATTGTCTACATCCTCTCTGACTAGATTTTATTCTACCAATCACAAATGCTAGGAGCATAACAAGTGTATATTCTCATTTTTATTGTAGCGTAGGCAGTTGATCACCGTCGCCAAACTGTCAGATTCCCTGATAGAGGACACATATCAACCCATTATGCCAAACATCAAGTACAACATCGTATCCACCTCCAATTGTATTCATAAATGTGTCTTACTTAAATTCTCTTGACCTTCTGACCTCTTTTTTTCAATAATTTCCAATAACTGGGAGGCCGCTTGGCTCACTGTCATATACCTGGGCGGCTCATAAATATGTCTTCCTCTGGAAAAATGAAAAATAAATAAATTAATTTAAACCCTTTGTACGTCCTTGTTCATAACTTCAGCATTCAGCTTTACCTCCTTTCTTCAGTGCTGGAGTCAATATGAAGCCACTTACAAGATTGTACCTGATTGGCTAACAAACTCTAACACCTGACAGTTAGACCAGCATGTTTGTTGACATCAAATTCTGCCTTTTATTACACATTTATCAAGTATTTTTTTAAACAAGGAACAGGGGCGCAGAACCCTCATGCCATGGCCATGCACCCCTTACACTGGGGAGCAGATCCTCTGGCAACCATAAAATTCTGATTGACCACAGATAACATCATACATGTGGCTACAGTCTTCAACTGTGACATGTCTGATAGTAATTTTGGCCCCAAAGAAGTCATAGAATGATCCATTTAAATTTAGAATTATCAAAAACTCCACACCCTGGTAGGGAGAACCCTATCTCCCCCAATTGGTGGCGTCGCTGAATTGCAGTGCTCACTCTTGCAGTTTTATTTCTAGAAAGAAAACTGTTGATTTATATATACATGTATGTACTGTGGTATTCATAGTTACAAACTTGCTCAATAACATTGGTACAGACTGCAAAAGCATGCAAATAAAATAGTCCCTTCTAAAGACTTGTTAGCAGTTGATGCACAAATTGAAAACATAGTTGAACTCTGGTGACCTTGCCCTTTGTTATATAATATAATTCCCTCTATCACAGTTTGTTTCAATATAAATACGCATTGTCATAATTAATTTTGAATACAAACAAGTTTTGGGGTTGAACCAACAGTGGGGAATCAGTCTACCGAATGTCCTTAAAAGATGTAAATATCTTACAAAAACATTGGTGCCTTATTTGTTTAATTATTTTAAGGGACATAATTTCCAGTATTTCAGATATTTTAGTATAAAAATAAATGCCTCATCGCAAAAAAAAAAGTTCTGCATTTAGACGTGAATAGATTCATAAAACATGCAAGATACAGAAAATCTTAGCTGGCTTT